ACATATATATGGCATAGTAGTTTAGAGCACAGATTCTGTATCCAAACTTCCTGGACTTAAATCCCAGCTCCAAACCTTGCTACATGATCTTGGGCAAGTTACTAACCACTCTGTATCTCCGTTTCCTCATCTGTAAAATGGGTGTAATAATAGTATAGATTGTATAAGGTTGTTGGGAGCACTTATAATGGTGTCCAGCACACATAGTAAGTGCTATTTAAGTGTTAGCTCTCAACAGTACTACTTTCACACTGAAACATATCCCTGTAATTTAGTAGCTATTGCTGGGGAATAGATGCAAACTGATTCACTTGTCTGATGCCTTCTGTGTCCCGCATCCCCATGAGCCAAGTCTTTTTCGGATAGGTTACAACAGTCTCTTGTCCTCATGAGTATGTACGAGACTGTGGGTGAGCTCTGCTCCTTACTTGTATAGCAGAATGTCAGCTGCCTGAAGCACTGGGTACGTGAGCAGGCCCATAGTTCCGTCGTGTTTCTGCTTGGCAGTCTTTGCCTGGGGCGAGAGGGTGGTGAAAAAACAGGAGGGGAAGAAATCAGACATGAACCTAATTATACTGCTAAGTAAGACAGTTTTAAAGCAAGCAAAACGTGGTCTGAAGCTACCTATATATCTCCATTAATGTTAGCAACTTTAACCATCCTCTAGGAGTCCCTGGTTGGTGCAAACAGTAAAAGTGCTCGGCTGCTAACTGAAAGGTTGGTGGGTCAAGCCTACTCAGAGGTACCTTGGAAGGCCTGGTGATCCACTTCCAAAACAAATCAGCCATTGAAAACCTACAGGGAATAGTTCTACTCTGACACAAATGGGTTTGCCATGAGTCATAATCGACTTTATGGCAACCGGTGGTAGTGGTGGAACCATCCTCTGGTGGGCTTGTCTTCATTCTCCAGGCTTAGGCAAGAACAAAGTAAATCCATTTCATCACTGCCCCTTCAAAGGATCCTGCACTGCCATTATTTCTCATTATTATTATTATTATTTTTACAGTAAGGGGATAAAGGATTTCCAGGTTCTAAATCAGATATATTCCAGATTCCACAGATAAGGTAAGAAATTAACATGAATTAACATCAAAAGCCATGTTGTTTGTCTGTGGAAACCTCCCAAAAAGTCTCACACCCATCCTGCTGATGAAACTGGGATGTTTTTAAAATCTCCTTTAAAAAAACAAAATCATGGCATTTCAAAAATAAAACTGAAGTCAGAGAAATTTTAATCTAAGCAATCATAATTAATTATCTTGATGTTAGGTGATTAAGAATGCTGAAGCAGTGAGGGTAAAGTAATTCTAATGAATAGTACACGTTGTGTAGACCAAAATATTTCCTGAGTGGAGAAGCTGATAGAAAACCAGAGGTGATATTAGAAATATTAAATAAGCTGGTGAGCAATGGGTACTGATATAAATGACTAGTGTGTACTAAGTGAATATGAGCCCTAGTGATACCAACTCCCTTGCTGCAGATAAGCATTGCTGACATGTAATATGATTTTCTGAGTACAGTTACTTATTAGAAGGGAATACTGTGTGCACTTCACTGGTAATTGCTTCCAAGTCCTGGTTATATCATCTTCTGAAAAATAATAAATGGATATTTTGGTGAGTAGATAAATCTGACTCATTTAGTTAGTATGGATTACTTCTCTGAAGTCTGATTGTTTCTGAATGAGCTGAACAACTGAATTTATAAACTTGCACAATTCCAAGGACTAAACTCATGAGCTCAAAACTCAGGTTTCCCTTTGAGGCTGGAGACACACCCTTTGAGGCTGGGTCTGAAAAAGCAACAGATTTTCTCTTTAACTATCTTAATTTCAATGTTCCATAATTTAGTTACAAATTTAACTTCTCTGGTTATATCTCAAGTAGTTTCTGGCTACAGCAACTAATGTTATAGGCCATTCAAAGAAAATATGAAAGTTTCAAGACACAGCTCCTTCAGCATACTATTATAATGCCCATGTTAAGGGCTATTTTGCCATTATTACTGGGTAAAGATTGTGAAGGTTTAATATGGAAATATCAAATGGGAAAAGAATCAAACTTAAAAAAATTGCTACTACGTTAGGTTTATAGTCTTTTATTATTAGACTACTGGACCTTGAAATTACAAGGGAAGGGAGGAGATGTGGAAAACACTAATATTTAGTGAGTGCCTATTCTGTGCCTCAGATGTTTTGCATATGGAGTTACCTCATTAATCCTCCAAATAACCCTGACCTCAACAACCCTAACCCCACCATTCTACCCTGTTGTTCCTGCTCTAACCCAAACCAAGCTAAGTACTCTTGAGATTCTCCCATGGCACTGGAATTCTTCCATCAGAGCTCTTCTCACACTTTCTTGTTCCTTGTTTAATTATCTTTTCCCAAATAGGCTACAAGCCTTCAGGGAGCTACCTCTGTCTTACTGACCTGTAGATCTCCAGCCTCTCCCTCGGTGTAAGACTCCCAGAAGGCATCATTGGTACTTGTTAATGAGGGAATCACCCCACAAAGTATAACTTGCCCAAGGATGAGGATGGGACTTGAAATCCATGCTTTTTCCACGAATACCATACCAAATCATGGATTAGTGGGAAGGGTTCCCTGGAATACCAGTGCATTCACTAATCATGTGTTATCACCACCTTAAAGTGGGAAACCAAAAAACAAACCAAACACGTTGTGTAGAGTCAATTCCGACTCACAGTGACCCTATAGGACAGAGTAGAACTGCCCCATAGGATTTCCAAGGAGCAGCTAGTGGATTCGAACTGCCGACCTGTTGGTTAGCAGCCTGAGCTCTTAACCACTGCGCCACCAGGGCTCCTAAAGTGGGAACAGTTTTCATTAAATTAGTATTCAGTTCCTATAAGAAAGGATTTCGGCACTGAACTTAGAGTATTATGGTAAAATGGAAAGTCTTGTCTAAAACCAAAATATGGTAGAGAACATTATAAAATTTTGCTTTTAATTCCTGGCAAGTAATGACTGTAACATTACTGATGCCTCTCATTTAGGCACTGCCACTTTAAAGTTTGTCTCTCTGCAGCATATGCAAAGGCTTCTGAAGCTTCTGAGGAAGCCAACGGTTCTGAAAATATGTTCTGAAGAAGCCTGAAACTGAAATTAGTGTTTACATAATTAGAGGCTACCTACCCTCAGGTTATCCAATTGCAAAAACAAATGGAAGTAAAGTGCTGTGAATTATCCAATTTATCCTTCTCAGTTGAACTTCCTAGAAAAAGTACAGCCTTAATTTGTCTGTGGGTTTGAACCATCGCCTGGACTCAACTTGTTTAAATGTTAAATAAAATATATTGTCTCTCCCCACAATGAAAAGATTCTTGCCTCACTGTCAGTTAATTCCAGTGGAGATAGGAGGCAACTTCAAGGTCCGGTGGTCCAGAAATTGAGGATTGTTTGTTAATTATCATGTGGTAGGTTCAAAGTCATTAACAAGTCTATCCAAAGACTACTCTGATTCAACCATACACAGACCAAAAACAATTAGCAGGATTTTTAAAATTGGAAGGAATCTTAGAGAACCCTTTGACCTTCTGTCCCATACCAGGAAGAAGAGAGGTTAAAGCACTGTTCCAGGCCAATAGTGAGTAGCAGGCTTGGGGGCGGGGGTGAGGGTGGGGGGTAGGGAGGGGCACAAAAATAAACAGGGAAAAACAGCTGTAATGAGGAACTTGCACTCCCTTCTGTTTATTAAGATCACCAGCATTTACCTTCCACTGGTGTAAGTGTTGTAATCGGGGTAGTCTGACCATGCAGGTAAGGATCCAACTTAATTGCGTGTGTTCAGACACCTAAAGAAATAAGATAGAACAATAACAGAAGTTATCAAGGTTTCATGCATATAAGACAAAACTAAACAGACAACAGGTATTATCTAAAATGGTGAAAAATATTCCAAGTCAAGGTAACTCAAAGAAAGAAAGGGGAAGGGAGCTTAGCTCTAATTAACGACGCATAGAATCTTACGGGTTATTGAGGGAATCTTAAAAGCTAACTAATCCAATTACTAGTCTCATGTTTAAACCTTCTTCATAACATCCCTAGCAAGTAGCTGGCCAGACTCTGCTTCAACATCTTCAGTGAGAGGGTTTCATTATGTTCTGAGGCAACTATTCCATTTTTAAAAAAGCTGAGGTTATTAAGAAAACACATACACACACACGTAGATTTCTCTTCACTTATTTCAATTTCTCTCTAAATAACTTCTAAATAAATGAAAACAGGTATCACACCTTATCTATAAATGCTACAGAAAGGTGCTGGACTAAAAATTTAAGGTTAAATCCTTTATATCTATAGTTATGTGAAATACAGGAATGACTTTATCATCTCAAAAGATGTTTTTATAGTTTCTAGTTTCTCCGCTAAATGTAACAAAATGACCAACTAAAGAAGAAAATGTCTTTTTTTTTTTTTTTAAGAAGAGATTTAGTCAACAAGAAAATACAAACTTTCCTCAACTTGTTTTTCTTTTAACCAAATTTAATCAAGTAATCAAATCTGGCAACAATTGGGATGACTCTTGGGCCCAGGCCAAATTCTAACTGATGACCTAGAATGTCAGACCTATGTATCCCATTTTGGGACCCTGGGGATTCCTAGCCCTTCATCGATTGCAGCTTTGTCTGTCCATATGATTTCTTTAAAAAGCAGAGAGTGTTGCCAGCTCTGAAAAGTGGCCCCAAATGTGTTCTTTGCGGGTTTTGCAAAAGGAACCCAAAGGCACGGGGCTGAGTCAGCCCAAGCCTCTTTTACTAGCAGGGAATCGCCATCTGGCATAAGATAGTCTCTCATGTTTTTCAAGTCATAGAGAGGAAAGAGTTGTTTTTCACGTGTTTGACAAGGGATCGCTTTTAAAGTTTTGCAAGTCGCTGGGCTAAATCTGTCATCTTTCTTCCAAGAGGCATTTGTGTTTCATTGAGGGCAATGGCTTTGACAGCACTGTCCATGCAAATTGCTAACTGCTGCTGTAAACAAACAGCTATCAGACAAAAACAGTAAGTCTGGATGTAAGCAAGTGGATTACAGTTGCTTCCAATCATCAAGCAAAACACATTCCCATTAAAACTAATAAAACAAGAGCTGTTTCTTGGCATGAAGAAGTAGGAGAGGGTTTTTTTTTCCTCTCCCTTCTTTACTGAATTGGGGGAAAGGAATGAAAACACAGCATAACTATGGGCATATGGAAAGAGAAAGGATGACTCCTTCCCTCCTGTTCTTGCTCAAATGCTTGGCTTTGGTGATACGCAAAAGGCTACCACCATGTCTCCATGAAGTCAAGTATTTTCCTTGGAGTAGCTTTTTATTTGGAATAAAATGGATTTAATATTCTGCAGAGATCCTGGTGTTTCCAGAAGAGGGGGCATGAAATTAATTCAAATTTTCCTCATACCAAGAAAAGTAGGTAAAAGGTAATTACTTTTCACAATTCATCTTTAATAATTATATAAAAAAAGGGAAGTATTACTTTAGGACTTGATTCTCTTCATTCATTCATATTCATGACAATTGCTTGGAAAGGTTCAGATTTCTATCCTGGGAAAAGTTAAAAAATGGTATCTAAATATAACATTTTCTGACTTATGTTGTGAAGCCACCAAAAAAACCAATAATATGACCCTGTTTTAGCCACAGAGAAACAAAAGCATAGAATAATAAAGTGGCCTTTTGGTCCTCCACAAACAATCAGCAGTGATGAGTGGAAAATAACTGAAGATTTGGTTAAGAGCTTGGCTGCTAACCAAAAGGTCGGCAGTTTGAATCTACCAGCTGCTCCTTGGAAACTCTATGCGGCAGTTCTACTCTGTCCTATAGGTTCGCTATGAGTCGCAATCGATTCGATGGCAACAGGTTTAATGCTAACAAGATGTGTGCATTCTTCAATTATAGCAATTTTATTTGTTGTAAATGAACACACTGCTGTAAAACAAAGGTTGACACATTGTAGCTGCTCAATAAATACATGTTGAGTGTATGAACAATATGAAAGGCTACAGAAAGAATGGTAAGGACCAAAAGGAATCCATTAGGTTTGGCAATTGACTTTTTGGTGATCCAGGTAAAAGCAGTTTCAGAGGAGTGATTATAGTGGTTTCAAAAGTGACTAGGAGGCAGGATATGAAGACAGATACACAAGAAGCACAGCACAATGGTTGAAGGCTCTATCTTTGGAGTGATGCTGCTTGGGTTTGAATGCTAGTTCCACTACTTTTAGTTGGATGACCCTGGGTAAGTGACTTAGCATCTCTGTGCCTCAATTTCTTCACCTATAAAATGTGGTTAACAAAGGGATTCACCTGACAGTGCTCAGAATAGCACCTAGCACACAGTAAGCAATCAATAAATGTTTTTTTTTTTTTTTTAATCATAGATAACTTTTAAACAGACATTTGTTTTAATTTTTCATTTTGAGATACGTGTTGATTTACATGCAGTTATAAGAAATGATAAGAGAGAGGTCCTGTGTACCCTTCACCCAGTTTCCCCCAATGGTAACAGCTTGGGTAAATATAGCACAATATCACAACCAGGAAACTGAATTTGATACAATCCATCAATTGTATTTAAGATTTCACCAGTTTTACATACACTCATCGTTTGTGTATTTAGTTCTATGCAATTTTATCAAGTGTAAAATGTTTGCTTTTTATGGAAGGATAGAGATAGGGGTAATTACCAAGAGACAGAGAGTAAAATTTTTGTTTTGTTTTGTTTTTAAAGGTAGTATATACCTACTGTCTATGTACCGAGCAGGGGGAAAACCACTGAACTATAGAAAAAGGGACAATTTGCAGAACAATATTCCTGAAGAAGGAGAATGAATAATATTCAACATAGGTTTAAGATATGACTGAAATATTTCCCACTGAAACAGGAAGGGAAGTAAATATCTTGTCAGCTAGGAGTGGAAAGCAAAAGTTAGAGGACTTCACATTGTAATGGGCTTTCTTACCTCTGAAAATAGAAGATAGTCGGATTAGAAACAAATCGGGTAAGAAATATACTCAACAGACTTTCTGGGTTTGATAGGAAGGAACACAAGTTCTCCTGGAATCATTATCTAAAGTTTGAAGTTTTGTGTATGGTATTGTGAAAAAAACAGGACAGTGACTCTTAAAATACACTCTTGGGGAAACACTGATATTTTTCAAGTTAGACTGAAATGTTCTGCCAAAATAATAACAGGTCTTTAAAAAAAATTTTAGAAAAAATTAAACCAGTTGATTGCATTTTCAGTTTCTTTGGTCAGTAGAATATTTTTGCACTCTTTTTTTAATATATATATTTTTATTGTACTTCAGATGAAGGTTTACAGAACAAATACTTTTTCATTAAACAGCTGGTGCACATATTGTTTTATGACAATGGTTAACAACCCCACGACATGTCAACACTGTCCCTTCTCAACCTTGAGTTGCCTATTACCAGCTTTCCTGTCCCCTCCTGCCTTCTAGTCCTTGTCCCTGGACTCTTGTACCCCATTAGTCTCCTTTTGTTTTATGGGGCTGTCTAATCTTTGGCTGAAGGGTGAACTTCGGGAGTGACTTCATTACTGAGCTAAAAGGGTGTCCAGGGGCCATACTCTTGAGGTTTCCCCAGTCTTTGTCAAGCCAGTAAGTCTGATCTTTTTTTGTGAGTTAGAATTTTGTTCTCCATTTTTATTCAGCTCTGTCCGGGACCCTCTGTTGTGTTCCTGGTCAGAGCAGTCAGTGGTGGTAGCCGGGCATCATCTAGTTGTACTGGACTCTGTCTGGTGGAGGCCATGGTAGTTGTGGTCCATTAATCCTTCAGACTAATCTTTCCCTTGTATCTTGTCTTCTTCATTCTCCCTTGCTCCTGAAGGGATGAGACCAGTGGAGTATCTTAGATGGCTACTGACAGGCTTTTAAGACCCCAGACGCTACTCACCAAGGTAGAATGTAGAACATTTACTTTATAAACTGTGTTATGCCAATTGAGCTGGATGTTCCCCGGGACCATGGTCCCCATAGCCCTCCGCCCAGCAATTCAGTCCCTCAGGGAGTTTGGATGTGTCTATGGAGATTCCATGGTCAGCAGAATTTTTAACAGGATTCAAAAAAAAAAGCTAAACATAAAGCAAAAGCCCTTGATAAATTAAACTACATTAAAACTAACAACTCTTTATGAAACATCACCACTTAAAGAGTAGTGAAATCACAAGCCACAGAGTGAGAAAAGATACTTGGCAATACCAATACAGAATATACTGGTATACAGACTATGTAAAGAACTCCTACAAACTGATAAGAAAAAAACCCTATGAAAACTGGTAAAAAATATAAATATGCAATTCACATAAAATAAGATATCCAAATGGTAAATTAGTACATGAGGAAATACTCAACTTCATTAACCATCAGATAAACGCAAATTAAATGCATTAAAAGCAAATTAAAGCTACAACGTGATACCACTACACACTCACCAGAATGCTTAATGTGTAACAGTCAAAAAATATCAAGTATAGCAAGGATGCTGAACAAATGGAACTCTCAGTTGAGTAAATGGAAATCTCCAGGTAGTAACTGGAGAGGGGCACAAAAGGCATTCTGGTTACTAGTTACATGAGTGTGTTCAGTTTATGAAAATTGATTGAGCTGCACACCTTAGGATTTTGCACTATTCTGTGTATTTGTATACTTAATAAAAAGTTAACATCTGAAACAATTTAAGAAATATTAATATAAAAATTCAATCATGAAATAAATAACTCCATAAATCAAACCAAACCTATTGCCGTCGAGTTGATTCTGACTCAGCGACCCTATAG